ACTGCTTAAAACATGTGCTGGCAAAGTTGGCGGTTCATTCCGCTGTGGTGACCCCAGATTAATAAAGGGACTAAGCCGAAAAGAAAATGAATGAACGAATGAAGTCGATAAGTCAAAGCGTGTTTGTCTACACAGCAAGTGTAAAGGTCGGTATAAATGATTGTGTCAGTGTTAAAAAAAAAAAAAACTAAGCCCATCATGCACTGCATTATTTTCAGTGAAGTCTGACAGCTCTATGCTAAGATTTGAAGACTGGTGGCCACTCACACAATGACTTGCTTAGGCTGTGAATTAAAGCTAAAATCAAGACTAAAATTAGCCTAAAAGCATGCTGTGACATCTGAGAGGAACTATTATTACTAAGAAAGTAATAAAGAAACTTCAAGCAACCAAAAACTGGCAATGTGCCAAGCAAGAAAATGATGTAGGCCAGTGTAGCCAAATTTTAGAGAATTTGAAGAACACATTTCCCATCTTTAATAATACATTTTTGAAGTTAATGTATAATCTTGGCAACACAACCTACTTCTTGCTGTGAGGTGACAGTGCTACCCACTGCACCACCACTTACACTTTATATGCATAATAAATCTGGAACTATGTTTGGACAGTTTTGATGAATGAATGTTAATGTAATTTAATAACACGACAAGTGCCTTAAAAAAATTTTTCTGTAAAAGTAAGTACATACAGTAACTGAGTTGTCCTCTCTGGAGGAAAAATGTGTATAGCCATATTTAACAAAAGCTAGCTACTAGTATGTTTAATTTTAGAGAAATAACTAGTTGTTGGTATTTTACATAATATGTAATCCTAATACATCAGCTTGGAGAAATGATCATTTTAGGTCAACAAATTAATTAATGAATTCAATCAATCACCACCGTCTAAAGACATGCGCAGTAGGTGAATTAAATAAACTAAACTGGCCATAGTGTATGTGTGTGAATGAGTGTATATGGATGTTTCTTAGTGCTGGGGTGCAGCTGCACGGCATCTACTGTGTAAAACATATGCTGGATAAATTGGCGGTTCATTTTACTGTGGCAACCCCTGATAAATAAAAGGAGTCTATTTGGTTTAATTATATAATCTATTGTCAGTACTTTCATGTGATATTTTGTAAATTATAAATAATTTCAGTATTAACAAAGCAGAATAAAGGCTACAAATAAGCTGGTGTAAATATGCTCATATTATTAATGAATAAGGGGCTTGGGAATGTGAACAGTGATGTTTTGTGAGTTCAGGGTTTGAATATTAGTAGAATATTGCAGACATGAAATCTGACACTATTTTCCTCTTGCAGAGCAGGCTATGGATTGATGGCACCACTCTGTCTGGTGTTGAAGTGCGCATGCACACCATCAGTTATTTATAACTTGGTGCTTTCATAAAAATATGTGAATGTCAATAAAATGTATATTAAACATACAATTACAATATAAAGAAATAAACTGGACTGATCAGTTGCTTGAATTTATCCATTTATTTTCATTTTTGGCTTAGTCCCTTTATTCATCAGGGGTCGCCACAGCGGAATGAATCGCCAAATTATCAAGCATATGTTTTACGCAGCGGATTCTCTTCCATTCATAACCCATCACTGGAAAACACCCATACACTCTTGCATTTACACATACACCACAGCCAATTTAGCTTATTCAATTCACCTGTACCACATGTCTTTGGACTGCAGGAGAATTCGGAGCACCTGGAGGAAACCCACGTGAACACAGGGAGAACATGCAAACTCCACACAGAAATGCTAACTGACCCAGCAGAGGCTCGAACCAACAATCTTTTTGCTGTGAGGCGACAGCGATATCCACTACGCCACTGTGCCACCCCATAGTTGCTTGAATGTTTTTGGTTATTTTTTTTACAAATACATTTGAATTTACATTGACAGTATGATATTGTAGGTTTGCTTTGCCATGGATCAGTTTTATCATCACAGTTATGATGGCATTCTCAAATGCAATGTTTGGTTATTACTAGACAACCTATTTGTAACGATGATCAAGTGAAGTTCAAAAGTACTGTTGGTCCTGTCCTTTGTTGGACAAAGTTGTCTGTGATTCTTCCTGTTTTTTTAAGTCATGCAGTGTAAAAAACCCCTGTCGCTGATCCATCTCGCAGTCAGAGATGTATAAAGTACTAGAGACCCAGACTTGAGTAAAAGTACAAGTGCAAGTGGAGATGCTCTTGAAGCACCATACAAGTACTAAAGTATTCAACATTTTTTGTACTTAAGTCTTGCAAGTTGTTTATTTGAAAATGTACTACTTAAGTACTGAAAGTAAAAGTATTGATTAATGTATTTAATAAAGAAAGCAGTCAAAAGACATCATATTGTTTTCTTTATTTTTAATATAATTTGATTTGTGATTAAGCAGAACGCAAAAGAAACATGGCTTACGATACTGTTTTTCTCTTGCACTTGAACCACAGATCTGAAAGATTATAACAGCTTTAACACACACCTTTCAAAGTTGTGTGTCACAAAAACACTCCGTAATCCACTCAAAACGCTATTGGAACCCATTTTCAGATCGCAAATTACCGGTTGTAAACAATGTAAACGGAAGTTCTAAACATTCTACCAAAAGACGCTGGTTGCTATGGCGCCCTCCATGCAGCAACCAAGAGAAAGGTCTATAATTGTAAGGAGAAGGGGTGTGAATGTACACTGGTCTCAAGGTTTGGTTCGGTTACAATTATCATGCCATCAATTCGGTTCAATTTGATTTCTCGGTGCATCTGGGTGCACTGACGATGCTTTCCATACATAGTTAGATTTTTTCTTTACAATATTTTTTTCATTAAAATCTATTAATATATATATATATATATATATTAAGTAATAAAATTTTGTTCTTTAATACAGCAGTAAGATATATGAACCTAAATTAAGATATATGTACCCTAATTTGACCTGCTCAAAGAAAACACTGTTTTTGATTGTATCAAACAAAACTCCAACACATGCACAGAAGACGGCATGAGCATTTATAGCAAATAAACTAATGTAAATATTATCCCGCTTGCTTTTTGAGCCCTGACAGGCGGTCTTACACCCCTATGATTGGTTATTGTCTTCATCTGCTCAATAGAAAGTGCTGCGATCAGCTTTAGAAATGCTGTTCACCGATGAGTGATGCGGGAAGAACTGTCGCGATAACAGTCTATATGTGGATAATACGCTGTTATCACAGATAATTTATAATAGACACAGTGGAGAAAACTTGCACCTCAGGCACGCTCGTGTCTGGATCCACAAGTATCGCTTTAACAGCCAAGAGGAGAGGAAATGTGTCCTTACAAACACGCCATTGGGTCAAATGTCCAAAGTGAGAGAGTGTGTTCTGTGCCGCCTTCATTGTAGTAAGAGCGTTATTTCTTCGCCCTCATCTCCTTCGCCATAGTATTCTACTGCAACATCGCGCGTAGAAGATAAATGACGTCAGTATGTAATAACCAGTTATGATCTATTTCTGAATCGATACCAATAATTTTGACACCCCTAGTAACGATGCAGCACATAAAAAATCTATCGGAGTAAAAGTATTAAACTAAAAATATGTACTGGAGTAAAGTGGAAGTCGGAGAAAAAACAAAACTCCAGTAGAGTACAGATACAGCCTTTTAGTACTTAAGTACAGTAGTGAAGTATTTCTACTTCATTACTATACATCTCTGCTCGCAGTATAAACACAGCACCAACAGAACGCAACCCCAGATTTCACACAGCCATGCAGTGTGAAAACATCCGTGACATGACTACTTTGAAAATCATGCAGTCTGAACTCGGCATAAGAGGATCTATGTCGTTTAAGCATTGTCTTACTTTTAATCTTTCTAAATTGTATCATGTTTATAATTACAACCTGTGTTGTAACAAAGATTTTTTATTCACTCTTTCCTAATGTTGGAATCAGAAGGAAGACAAAGCAATGATGTTTATGCTAAAAGAGTGTAAAACCTCTGTGAACAACAGGCCAATCAGAGCACAATACAGACTGTTGCGTTGCTCTTGAGGCACACCCTTAAGATTTGCTAATACGTCACATTCTACGTCATCCGGACCTGACGATTAGCCGAAGCCAAATTCATCAGAAACCAAAACACAGACTGATATGTTGCACATGGGATCATTAATATGTGCACCTCAGTCTGCTTTAACTTAATATGAACATGGGATTTTTATTTTGAAAATGGGGTTGCATAGGTTTCCTCCAGGTGCTCAGGGTTCCCCCAAAGACATGCAGTATAGGTGAATTGGTTAAACTAAAGTTAAACTAAATTGGCTGAAGTGAATGAATGTACTTGTGAAGGAGAGTGTATGGCTGTTTTCCAGCATTGGACTGTGGCTTGAAGGTCATTTGCCGCATAAAACATATGCCAGAGTAATTGGTGGTTTATTTTGCTGTGGCGGTCCTTGATAAATCAGGGACTAAGCCGAAGCATAGAGTGAATACATTAGCAGGTGTTTGTTGTATTTGTTATTTCAGATTAATTAAGCTTGCTATTACAGTATTAATTATTACCAGTCATTTAAAAGAAATATCAGTTTTTCAAATGTTTATACACAGACCTATACAAAAAAATTACATTTGTTGATTTAGTGATGGTTTAATGTCCATGTATATATTTATTTCTAATTCTCACTTCTGCACTCTCAGAAATAAAGGTACAGGAGCTGTCACTGGGGCAGTACCTTTTCAAAAGATACATATTTGGACCCACAGAGTCCACAATGGTATCGACAAGGTGCATTTTAGTACCCAAATGTACCTAAAAAGAACCTTTGATGTACCATTATGGACCCTTAAGGTACAAATATGTACCTTTTGAAAAGGTGCCTCCCCAGTGACAGCTCCTGTACCTTTATTTCTGAGAGTGTGCAGTTCTCTTTTTCTAAAGTATTTTGTTTTCTTACTTCATTTTTGTACTACTATCCTTGGTCTCAGTTTTCCTACCTTTCTTTCTTTTGTCAGCTGTGTGCCTGGTGCTGGGCTGTTTGATTTTCCCAGATGGCTGGGATGCAGAGGTCATCCGGGATATGTGTGGAGAGGAGACAGGAAAGTACACGCTGGGAAACTGTTCTGTTCGCTGGGCTTACATACTGGCCATCATCGGCATCCTAGATGCTCTCATCCTGTCCTTTCTTGCTTTTGTCCTCGGAAACCGCCAGAACGACTTTATGCACGATGAAATCAAGGCTGAAAATAAAGGTAAGAGGAAAATCAGCAGCCTTATAAATGAAGCTAACATCATTCATAATAATCCACAATATGTAGTATTTAAAGGTGCTGTGTGTTTTTGACTCTTCTAAAGCATACAAATACTATAATATGTTTACAAATATTTAAGAATTATGCCAAATGAAAATTCTTGTTTATCTGAAAAACAGTACTGATGTCAGATATTCTGCTTTAAAAATGTGTTTTCCGTGCCAGAATGCTGTGTTTCTTTTGGTTATTTTAACCCGCCCAATGGCAGTTTAGCCAATTATATTTTAGCACCATTGATGGAAAACCTTGTGTGGTTTATTCAGTCAGAAAGGCTCTCAGAGCATGTGTGTTCATGACTGAAATGCGACCTCTGGTGGACAGTGGTAGACTCCGAAATGAGACGCAGAATCCGAGTTTCACATGAGGTTATTAATTAGCAAATAATATAAATATTGCGAGTGTAAACATTAGATGGGCAGGTACATTGTAACCCTTTGTTACATTCTAACAACACGCTGATGAGATTTTTTGTGATAATCAGCCAAGTTTACACCAGACGAAACACGATAGAAATTTAAATACAGCCATTCAGAGTCACAGAATATTGCACTTACTCATAAAAATGGTACAGTTTATAATCTAATTAATACATATTAAACCTCTTTACCATTATTAAATGTAGATGCTGAATCACTGATGTGTTGGCTTGCACTGAGTCATAGTTAAGAAGTTCAATTTTAAACAGTTTATTTTATTTTCAAGATCTGAGGTGAACTATCTGCTGCTGCTTTCAGTAGTTTGGCAATAAATGTCATGTAAAATGGCATTCAAGCTCACATTATTAGCATTCAACACTGAATAAAGCACATGAGGTGTATCTGAGGTGATTTTGTTTTTCAGCTGCAATAAATAGATGCCTTTCTAAAATATTAATTCCAGGTGTTGGTTAGAACAAAAACTTCTTTTAATATGAAAATAATCCTTCCGTGTGCCGTTGCTTTTATCTAGAACACAATTTAAATTAGCCTTAAATCAGATGGCAAGCTAGATGGCACGCTCCTGAACCAGCTCAATCTGGCAACCTGCACATGCGTTTGTTTTGATCCAGGAATGCAATACCTAGTTCAACCACTGGGTGTTAAACTTACACACTGCACAATGCTGTGGATTATTATTATTATTATTATTATTATTTTTATATATGGGATAGCTTCAATGTGCCATCATCTAGTTTTGTTTGGTTGTCTTTGGGAAATGATATACGTCAGTAAGCTGGAGTGACTGCTGGTGATATTGACACTTGAACATCATAAGTATACAGACTTCAAAAGGCCAAATGTAAATGCTCTCCTGTCAAGTCTTGAGTCATTTAATTCAACTCTACATATGAAAAAGCATTCGCTTATTCATGCTACATATGCAGTTTTTACACCTTCTAAATAAGATTATGAAGACATACATGCTGGAAACCCCAAAACCCAACGTGAGTGAGCAATGGATGAGAGAAATGGAGCAACTGTGAAACTGAAACGCAAACTCAATCAAACTCAGGGAAGAGGGAAGGTACTGACTTCATATTTACACATACTGTAGTGCAGGAAGGGTAGAATAGATTTTCTGTATGACGGTTTTGCTGACACATATTTATGGAGATGCACCTAAATGAAACCTTCTCAACTGGACAGCAATTCTTCAAAGTCTTCAAAACTCTGCAAAGCTATACAGTAGGTTAATGAATATTTGATATCCTCAGGGACAGGGGACTTCATATTGTGTATTCCTAATCCTGCACAAGCTTTTACAACAATCAATAATTGGCAAGAAAATCAGAAATTCTGAGGAAAAAACATGCACAATTTCTTTTATAGCATTCCAAGTCAACTGGGGAAGTTGTCATGGTTACATGTCAGATTCCAGCAAGATAAGAGGATGCACTGCTCTCTCCCCAGCAACTTCGTACTCCACAGCTGTCATGGCACACACATGTTCTCCATCACCCTTGTTCTCTGCTAATTAACTAGGAATGTGGGTATATGAGCAATGACGACAGAAAGAAGAAAAGGATGTATGCACAGCGTCTGTCATATCTGGGCCATAGGTGCTGGAAATCAATAATAACCCAGAGGGAGGTTACCGAACCTCCCCCACCATTATCTTTAGTTTCCTCTGCCTTAAATTCAATCTTGCCTGCTCTACCATCTTATTTGAACCCCCCAAAAAATAAAAAATAATGATTCATTCTTGGACATGTTGCGGTGCACATATTTTGTTGGACAGGATTAATGTATACATGCTTTTAATATCATAGTAGTTAGAGCAAGATGTCTTATGCCCAGTGCAGGATACAAAACTTTCCCATTAACCATAAGGCTAGTATAAATGAGATTGACATCAAATGTCTGATTGGTTACTATGAACATTCAGTGCAAGTGGCATACATATGTCGGTTGAAGTAGGATGTATACAGGAACAAAAGCGATCTATTTGGTTTAATTCTGTGCTTTTACAGTGGAGTGCAGACCATGGATGAAGGACGGAAATGTAGAAAAGGCACATAGGAGCTGTGTCGCCTGAATGCTATGAGGAGGATATGAGAGTTATTCTTAAATGGGTCTCAAAGGCCATATTATGTTGTATGTATAATCCACTAAAATAGAGTTGGGTAGGAATGGCTTATATGTAATCTAAATTGTACACAGTAATAAATGCTGCGTTCCACACAATTAATTTGTGTTCACATAAAATAATTAAGTCAACTTATTCATTTTTGCAAATTTAAGTAACATAAAGCAATTCACTTGTCGCAAAAACATTCAAGGGTTGTGTTGTTTCAGCTAATTTTAAATAAGTAGTTTGAACAAACAGCAAACGTTACTTTATCAGCGTTTGACATTAACACCTTCAAATGCACTTCTAGTGTTTTTTTAGATGAAATATTTAAAGTAGCTGTGATATTGCTGTGAATGTCATGTTTTTTGTATTGGTATTAAACTTGCTGTTTTCTGAATGTACTTAATTTTAAGTAAATGATTTAAATCAAAAAGTGATTTGGTTTTAATCATCAGGGATACTATCAGCAAACACTATCAGCAAGGTGTATTAATGTTAGTATTTTGAAATAATAACTGTTCATACATTGCACTTTGATTAACAAAGCTTTTGAGGCTCTTTTTGTTTTAAGCTTTTTTTTACTCTTGTTATTTTTTTCAAAGCGTAACTGCTAATAAGAGCTATGCAATACTACAGCTACATTTTCAAAACAATAGGGAGCATTACAGAAATTAACAATGTTTATTGTGGAGGTTTGAATAAATTGTCTGGCACATCATGTATATCAGTGTGCAATTTTACTTGCATTGTCTGGATTGTGGTAAAGAATGTGTGCAATTTGTTTAAAAAAAGTTGTACTTTACAGTACATGTGAAAATGTTTTTCTCAATCGCTTCATTAAATATTTCAAATTGTTCAGTAAGCTGCAAGTTTGAGAGGCACACTTTGGATAGTACAACAAACCCTTTACAGCCATGTATTGTAATCTAATTCAAATTGTTCCCAGCAGGCACAGGACATAAACATGACATCAGATTAACGTTCTACCCAAACGTCATAGGACGTTGCATAAAATCGGGGCGACGCAGTGGCGCAGTAGGTAGTGCTGTCGCCTCACAGCAAGAAGGTCGCTGGGTCGCTGGTTCGATCCTCGGCTTAGTTGGTGTTTCTGTGTGGAGTTTGCATGTTCTCCCTGCATTCGCGTGGGTTTCCTCCGGGTGCTCCGGTTTCCCCCACAGTCTAAAGACATGCGGCACAGGTGAATTGGGTAAGCTAAATTGTCTGTAGTGTATAAGTGTGTGTGAATGTGTGTGTGGAAGTTTCCCAGAGATGGGTTGCGGCTGGAAGGGCATCCGCTGCGTAAAAATGTGCTGGATAAGTCTGCGGTTCATTCCGCTGTGGCGGATTAATAAAGGGACTAAGCCGACAAGAAAATTAATGAATGAATGAAAATCGGGTTGTCGTCAGAACACAATGTCAGGCCGAAGTCAATGTCTAATGTTGGACAGACGTTGCATTTTGGTTACTTTTCAACACAACCTAAAATCAACCAAATATCAACGTCCAATGATGTTACAGCTGTACGTTGTGTGGACATTACCAATATTATGTCGATCTGGCGTTGGATTTTGATTGCTATATAAATATATATATATATATATATATATATATATATATATATACCTACCTGACGAATAAAGTATGATGTCAATATGACGTTGGTTTAAGATGTTGGTTGGACATTGGATTTTGGTCACTTTTCAAAGCAAACTAGAATCAACAAAATATTTCAAATCGTTATGGGACGTCAACATAACATTGTCCTTAGATGCTGGCGACGTAAATCCTAACTAATATTAACTTTTAATGACGTTGTGTGTCTGCTGGGTTGGTACATGTGAAAATATAGACATATCACTCTTCTTTGCCTACCAACCTGTATTCTCTGATTCAGATTTCAAAATCAGTTTCAAACTATCCTTTTTACAAAAAAATAGTAAGGAGAAAGCTTAAATTTCAGTCGAAATTGTGACTTTTCTGGTAAGATTTTCTATATTTAAATATAAATACAGTATAAATTGATTAGAATGTAGCAGCAGTGTTTTTGTAAACTGTTGTTAACAGTTTTGAAATGAGTTTGTTAGCATGTAAAAAATGTGCCAAAAATGAATGAAAGAAATGTTTGGGAATTTAAAATGTATTCATTGCATACATTTTGTGTGAAAGAAAGAAAAAAGGATTAGTAGTATGCTTTGCATAGACTTCTGTTTGGCATTTTGTGTCAGACTTGTGGCTTTGGTACTGCACAATAATAGTAGTAAAACTGTAAACTCTTGATAAATATTTTAACGAATGTATAGCATTAAGTGTAACTAAATTTTCCTTTGGATCAACCATCAAATACACACAATTTTATTTTAAAGTGCACAAAAATCACACAATATATACAAATGTACATATGTGAAATAATATCTCCATCAGACATCAAAACAGGGCTTACTGAAATGGACAATAACTGTCTTTACTTTGTGCCTTGTAACTTTCTGATCTTTTTTCATGATCAAACTGCAACATTATGAATAAAGGGAAGCTAAAAGGGCTAAAACCTTTTAATGTACAACCCTCATTTATCCTAGTCACATTCTTATTCAGAGCATACTTTTTTTCTAACTGCTGTCAATTTAAACATATTACAAACAGCACAATATGTGGTTTTAAATGCACCTAAAGTTTGACAGCTATAAACAGGCAAGCTTTTTAAGCTTGGAATGCTATATTAAACCACACACACACATACACACACACACACACACACACACACACACACACACACACACACACACACACACACACATCTTACTAAACAATCACTTCTATTCTGTCTTCACAGATTTGGCAGTATCCAGGGTAAGTTGTTCTGCTGCTGTGAGTTTTGTGCTTGTGTGGTTCTGTGCAGTTGTTGTGGTACAAATTAGTATTGTAGTTCTTTCCCGGCTTTCAGTGATTTACTCTCGTGGTTGTCATGTTTAGCTTCTATTAGCATATTAGCTTCCTTTATGTAATCCCCATTTGCAGACATGCCCTTATTTACTAATAAAATCCATTAAACATAACAGGACTTTAGTTGTTCAAAGCAAGTCAAAATCTGCATGAAAAAGTGCATGTGTCAAATATCTGTCCTGCTATCTGTAAAAAATGAATATGATGACTTTTAAGATGACCATGTGCAAGACATTTTATATTACATTACAAAACCTTATAAATGCAAATTGAAGTGTAAATGAGTAAACCTTTATTCATGGTAGTTAAGACTGAGAATTTCTGTACAATAAATTTGGACAAAGAGGCATTCAGCACACTGACATATTCACACACAATAATTAAACTGTTTTATTCCATGTATACCATGAAATGTTAGCAATCGCTGTGTCAAAATATGATTAACTGCAGTTTTCCTTTCCAGCATACTCTACGTGTAGGGTCTTCTCTGCGAGTTGATGGAGTAAGCTTAACTTTAGTACAGCTTAACTTGTTCCTGACCGATTGATCCACTCCCTAAAAAACTTTGCATGCAATCATAGCATGGGGATTTAATCCAATATTGCCAAGAAGCTTCACGTTTGGAATCATTTCTGATCTTGCTCAATCCAATGATGAAGAAATAGCGTTTTACACTTCCTTGTTTTTTCCCTTTGTGTGTACTGTAATTTCTTTGGCAGTGGCGTAACTATTGGCAATGATGACTAGGCCCTTTCCCATTGCATTATGTTCACATGCATTATTCAAAGACCTGGAAAAGGTTCCAGTTGCAAGTGCTAGTGTAGTCCTAAAAAAATGCAATTGACTACAACTCTTGCCAGCATTACCTACTAGGGCTGTCATGATTTCGTTCACAATTTGACTAAATTCCTAAAGCTGGGATAACCAACTTGATAATCTACTGTATATTGCAATCAGTGCTGAATCTGTTGTCAAACATTGTAGCATGAACTAATGACAATAAACCTAATAACATAAATAATTAGTGTAATTGTCAATCAAAAATACACTTTCTGACAAAAGTCTTGTTGTCAATCCCAGTTGTAAGAGCAACAAATAATAACTTGACTTCTGGTTGATCATTTGAAAAAGTGGCAGAAGGTAGATTTTTCAGATGAATCATCTGTTGAACTGCATCCCAATCATCACAGCTACTGCAGAAGACCTATTGGAACCCGCAAAGATGCAAGATTCTCACTGAAATCAGTCAAGTTTGGTAAAGATAAATCATGGTTTGGTGGTACATTCAGTATGGGGGTATGCAAGAGATCTGCAGAGTGGATGACAACATCAACAGCCTGAGATATCAAGACATTTGTGCTGCCCATTACATTACAAACCACAGGAAAGGGAAAGTTCTTCAGCAGGATAGCGCTCCTTCTTTTACTTCAGCCTCCACATCAAAGTTCCTGAAAGCAAAGAAGGTCAAGGTGCTCCAGGATTGACAAGCCCAATCACCAGACATAACCATTATTGAGCATGTCTGGGGTAAGATGACGGAGGAGGCATTGAAGATGAATCTAAAGAATCCTGATGAACTCTGTGAGTCCTACAAGAACGCTTTCTTTGCCATTCGACATGACTTTATTAATAAGTTATTTGAGTCATTGCAGAGATGTATGGACGCAGTCCTCCAAGCTCATGGGAGCCACACACAATATTATATATTTTTCCACTGCACCATGACCTTATATTCTATACTATACAAACTTATTTCTGTGACAAGACTTTTGCCAAAGTAAAGTCAGACCTTACTGTCCTAATTAAATCTTTAAAAATCAGGGCATGATCATATTTTATTTTGGTAAAATAAGCATAATCTAAAGGCCTTTTCATTTCATATAAGCCACTTCTGATACCAAATGATTCACTAGAAGTCACGTTATTATTTGTTGTTCCTAAAACTTGGATAAGGCAACAAGACTTTTGTCAGGTAGTGTATGCCATTATTTACTTACTCTACTTATTTACTTACAAAATGAAATTGCCAAAATGACCCAAGTCTGCCCGTCTAGGCAAATCAATATAAATAAATATAATGACACAAGTTTGTATCTGTGCAATTTCGTGCTCCTGCAGAGTTTGGCTGCTTAAGAATTTCTGAACCAAAATTTGTGACTTAGTTAATAAAATGTTTAATTTTGCTGCTTTAACCTTTTAAAATGTTTAATTTTAGACTATGGGCATTAGGTTATGAGGCATTCCACCTCTAAGACGGAATGATGCAGCGTATTAAAACGTCTTTAAACAATATATTCAATTATATATAACAAAAGTGAGTTACTCAATCACATAATGTCTGTTTTGAGCTAAGGCCTATGCAATCCTAGTTACGCCACTGATTCCTACAATGCTTTCCTATTCTCCACTTTCACAGCCTCATACTTCCAGCCGAAAGAATTATTGTTTTATAACTCAGATTACAAACTGAGGTGACACATGGTATGTTGTTAATAATAAAGGTATCAGAAAGAGTCTGTGTACTTCTAGCTTAACATATAACTATACTGATTAGAAACTCATCTTGATCAACATTTAACTGTAAGAAAAGATAACTGTCCTACATTTAAGTGCCAAGCCTAGTTACAATATAAAGGCTATAATTATGACTGTAAGTTTGACTCATTACTATTAAGTGTCATATGCAGATTATTAGTGGTTTTATCAAACATTATTACTTGTGTTGACAATTTATGTTTTTGTATTCCATCCTTCAATTACTGTAAATTGCATTCATTCCCAAACCCACAATGATTTTTAATGACTAATTTCATTTTTGTTAAATTGGCTGATGCTTCAACATGAGTCATCAAAAAGGGGTATTATTAAAACAGCAAGGAAGATGGTGAACCTCTTTAGAGACCCAGTGCAATAAATGTCTGTGGAATGCTTTGATGAAGTCATAGTGTATTTTTAATTTACTAAATGAAAAAGAACAATGAGTTGACATTTTACAATATAAAAAACAGGGTGTTAGTGTTAATTAGCGTAGTGGTTCTTAATCTCAGTCATGCAGAGCAGTGGGTCCCAGCACCAGAGTTGACACCCACAGTTTTAGAGTGGTTTTAATGATTGTGGTCATGAGGGATTATTGTTTTTTTAACATGGACAACTAATTTTGTGGGCAATTGGTCATCTCTATTGGATCTCTAGTGGTTTGTATTTCACTGCTTTCTGTATTTTTCCCCTGAATTTTGACAATGAGTTTTCCAACAGGTTTCCAGATCTTTGTTTTTTGTCTGCTTTGTTGTTTGGCACATACTGTATCCATTACCAGCTGTTTAACTGCTAGTGTTGTCCTGTTTGCTTTTTTTTTTGGATCATTTTTTTGCATAATTTTTCTGGATCATTTTCAGCCTGTAAACTGACCATCTGCTAGTGATTCCCCAGTCAACCATGTAATTACAATCTAGACAAAAGAATCAGAGGATGGCTGTCAGCGTAGTGTATACTTCCGATTGATACAGTTATTGTCAGTCAGTACCCCAAATTCAGTTACTTATACTTAACCACTGTAACTCTATTGTAGGCTCTGTTTTTTTTAATCAGTTTTTTGTTAAATTTTCAATGTTGATAAATCTGTATCAGGGTATGGCAGGAAGCAATTCTTCTCAATTTACCAGAGGACTTTAATTTTAGACTTTAGCATTGAGTCTGCTTGGGAAGTCACAAATCTGTGTTCAGTGCCGTTGCCAGCGGCACAACACCACTGCTTTGAGGCATGTCAAATTTAGGGCAGAGCACACCTGTTTTTTTATAGCACTTTTCAAATGAACCAAGTGAAAGACCATTCGTTCAAACATTTATCAGATATGTATTGTTTAATGTGCTGTTTCTCAATCACGTTCCTGGAGGACCACCAGCTCTGCACACTCTCCAATGTCTCCCTAACCAAACACATCTGATTCAGATCATCAGGGGCCTCATGTATCAATGCTTTGCGTACGCCAGATTTCACGCTCATGTTTGGATTTACTAATGCTGAAATGAACGTGAGAATGTGCGTTGGTCCACGCCAACTTCATGTCTGACATACATGTATTTCTTGTGTATGTTTGTTTTATTTAAATTGGCGACTCTCAAAGGCAATTGTGTTCATTTGCACACTACAAAGTATCTTTGAGCCGCATGTCATCCACATGTCTTGCAGGTATATGAGGTTTTCATACCATGCAGTTGACGAGTCAAACATTAAAGCGCAACTTGCAGCGATCGCCAGTTTTCCCAATATAATCAGAGCGATCGACTGCATACACATTGCTATAAAGGTGCCATCTGAAGACGAATTTCCATACGTGAATCGGAAATATTTCCATTCAATAAACGTGCAAATAATATGTGATGCTCAAATATGCCTAACATATTACACACACTTATTAATGATTCCTACTCGTCTTCCTCGTGATGAAGAGTAGGCAAAATCTGATATGTAGTGGGGGAAAGAAGAATGAGTTCATCAGACGCTGGATTCGAACTGAGTTAATGATCGAATGTGTCAAAACATGGTGCCGTGCACTTAACGAGTTACGCCACTCATGCTGCTGTGTGCCACTCTCTTCTTTGTCAATAAAACAGTGCTATTTGCACCTAAATAGACACTACAAAATTTTACACCTTTACATCAGACCATTTCTTTTTAATTCACCCAAAGTGTGATGTTCAGACCCCATTGTGTTAACCGCGTCAGCTAAACTCTCCCATTTTATTTATTTTTTTATTTTGTTATTAATTCCGGAGGACAAACTTGCAAATAACACCATTTTTCTCTGGTCTGCCTCCGAAAGGATCACCTCCAATTTACTGTACATTCTGTTCAAAGTTTCTCTTTTTGCTTGCTTTTTTCATTGCCTTTTCATTCAGTTTTGCCAAAGTAGAGTCATTACCATATTTAATAGAGGGAGGAGGCAGGGAGGGGTTTGTTGCTCGTGCACGTGCGCTCAGTTTCACATTAAGTCGGATGTACAAAGAGAATATGCGTCGGATTCCGCGTACCCAGTGTTTCATACATCTGAATTTTTACTGCATATACACACATTTACAGCTTTGTGCGTACGTAATATTTTAGTATGAATTCAACGCAAGTCTTCGTACATGAGGCCCCAGCTCATTAGCAGAGACTGAAATATCTATAATGCAGGGGTGTCCACACTTGGTCCTGGAGGGCCAGTGTCCTGGAGAGTTTAGGTCCAACTCTAATCAAACACATCTGAACCAGTTAATCAAGCTCTTACTAGATATAGTTGAAACTTCCAGGCAGGTGTGCTGTAGCAAGTTGAAGCTAAACTCAGTAGAACACCGGCCCTCCAGGACCGAGTTTGAACACCCCTGCTGTAATGTGTGAGACAGACAAAGAAGACCTCCAAACATGCACACTGATGTAATGGCTGCTTTGGTAAAATTATTAATCAATGCACACAGACACATAGATGTTTTGCTGGTCACACTTTATTTTGATGGTCCGTT